AATACACTATACAAGAAAGCTTTCAATCTGATTCCTTAATTAGTTTTTGTCTAATGTTCTCAAGAAAGCACTAAAAAGGCCAGAAAAGTGTAAGAACCAAAGGTGTAAAATCGAGGAACACAAAACAAGAAGTCTGCTCGCCCCCCCTGCTGTTACTATATTTATAAATAACTTTTATAAATCTCATAAGTAATATTTTTTTTTTAAACTATATAATATATATAATTTTTTTTTTTTGATATCCTATTTGTTTACTATTTAGCTTTCTATTACTGTGAAGCATACCTCACAAGGTATACAAAACTAAAGATATAATCTGTAGATAACTAATTCATCAATTTGATAGATTATCTGTAATCTTATGAATAAACAGATTACTTTTTTTAAAACTTTTAGATAATTCAAATTTAATAATAAATAATTTGAATTATCTATTAAATTCATAGATTAATAATTCAATTTACAGATATAGAAATGAGAAAAGTAAATAATATAGAAGTGAGTAATAATAGAAAAGTGAGTAATATAGAGACGGGAAAAGTGAATAATATAGAAGTAGAAAAGTGAAAAAAGTGGAAAAAATAAGTTAATATAAAAGTGAAAAAAGTGAATTAATATAGAAATGGGACAAGTGGATGATATGGAAATAGAAAAAGTAAATAATATAAAAGTGAGTAATAATAGAAAAGTGAATAATATAAAAATAAGAAAAGTGAATAATGAAATTAGAAAAGTGTATAGTATAAAAATAGAAAAAGTATAATATATAGAAGTGAGTAATATAGAAACAGGAGAAGTGATGCCATACCAGTATGTGAACAAGGGTTTAAAGAATAACTAATATTTATTAACTAAACTAACTTAAACTACTTAAATAATTCTTAGAATTTCTTAAGAATTACTAAGATCAACTCAATTCAATTATTTAATAATAAATACGAAGGAATATATAAGGTAAGTTCTTTATTGTGTGAAGTTTTAACACATCAAATCAGCTTGTTCACTTAATAAGATATATATATCAAAAAATTTTTTCTAGTGAAAACCTTCGAAAATTAATATTGACATAAGTATTTTATTATTTTTCAATATGTTATCTTTCAAAGGTCTTCATTAACCTTTGAAAGTTATCGATTTTAATATTTTCACATGACAAAATTTTATAAATATTATTGTTTTTATAGTAAATTCATATCGATCCCTTTAAAGATTATTGATTTTGATATTTTTATATATGAAATTTTACGAATATTATTGTTTTTATAATAAATTTGTATCGATAATTTTCGAAGGTTATTAATTTTGATATCTTCATGTGTGAAATTTTACAAATATTATCATTTTTATGGTAATTTCATATCAATAACCTTTGTTTATATTAGATATTTATAATATATCATTTCGATAGTCATCACTTGTATTTATATCACTGCAATTTTTAATAGACATTACACTGTTAACTATATTCTTCAAAGTTTATTGTAGCAATTTTAATTGATATTGTATAGTTAACAATATCTTTTGAAATTTATCATATTGTTAATTATTATTTCAAAATTTTCTTTGAAGATTAATGTTTTTTTGTTTATACAATAAGATCAGTTATCTCATATGACTTATTATTTAACTATATATTCTTTTGTTTATTTTCAAAAAAACTACTTTTACTCTCTAAACAATCTATACAAAACTCTTTAAAAAGAAATAAATTTATATCTTCATATTTTTATTATTGTTATATCAAAATATATCAAATAAAAAGTAATAATTTAAGATATATTTCATAATATTTATTAGTTTATGTCAACTTTATTTTATAACTTAACAAATAAATAAATATATTTTATACTTTGTTTATTTTCAGAAATATCTTATTAACTTTAACATATACTTATAAAACACTTTGAAATGGTATATTTATATCTTCTTATAATTTACTATGTTGTTATTATACATGTTTCAAAATTGATTTTAGATTTTTGAGATATTTTGACTTTTTAAAATTTATATAAAATCTATTCTATATATAGAAGTAAAAAAAATATCCAGTTATGTGTATATTCAATCAAAGAATAAATCTGGGTGATCAAAAAATTTTGAATTTTAAGTAAAATAATTTCATCTTCTATGAAAAACTATTTTGACTTTTTTTCTCAAAATTATAATTTCAGGACCTTAAAATAATTTTGTATGCAAGTATAGTTGTTATATCAAGTACATTAATTTTGTAATACTATTACTTGACCTATACAATTTTATTTTGTAATATAAGTATTCAAACTATTTATTTGAAAAAATTAATTTACTTCGAATCACAAAATATTACAATATTTAATTATATATGAATATTTTGAAGATATACAATGTAATATATTCTGATGTTTAAATAATAGAAAATTCAAATTAATAATATCAATTTTAATTATTATAATAGAAAATTTATAAAAAATTTAAAAGAAATTTGAAAAAATCTCAAAAAGATAAATAAACATCTTTTAAACTTTTGTAAAATTACAAAAAAACAAAATAAAAGATAAATAAACATCTTTCAAACTTTTGTAAAATTACAAAAAAACAAAACAAAAGCTAAAATATTATTATCATTAAAAAAAAATAAAGACAAAAAGAAATATAATATTACAGAAAATAGAAACTTACATTATATTTAAAAATTATATAAAAAGTAATTACCTTATATTATTGCGTCATCGTATAAAAATATATAGAAAAATAAAAAAAAATGTTATAAAATATTTATTATTATCTTTTAATAATAAAATTAATAATAAATTATGTAAAATTCAGAAAGTAATAAAATATTACGAAATGAAATTATCTATAATATATATTGAATTACAATGAAAACAATTAAATTCGAAATAATCTGAAAACGATAAACCTGAAACAAAATACATTAAAATACTAGCTATTGAATTTTGAAAGTTTACATTATTGTTAAAAAATTTAGTATTGAACTTTTAAAGTTTTCAATAATGAAATAATACATATCAAAATTTAACTGTTAAATTTCAATTTCAAAGGGTTATGATATAATTAATAACCTTTGAAATCTAATGTTATAATATAATTTCGAAAGTTTTCGAATTAATATAATTACTGATATAGTTAAAACACAATATGTAAATTTAACAATTGTTTGTTTAATAAAATATTTAACAAAACTTTAATGGCTAAAAAAAAAATCTAATTGTAAAAACACTACTCATAGATAATAAGAATATACATCAACTGTAGAAATATTAGACCTAGTTCTTTAATTAAATTATAAATAGCTATACAAATTAAAATATCTATAATTTTCTTAATTTTAATAATATAGAACTAAGATTTCTATAGTTGATACATATTTTTATTATTTACAAGATTACTTAGTAATATACAGATGATTTAATTATAAAATTAAAAAATTTTATATGTAGATACAATAATAGTTAATTTAAAATTTTATGTTACCTACCTATTAGATATCCGAAAGGTATTCGAAATTCAGTAAAATTAATATGGTAATACTACCTGTTAGGAAAGTAAAAAGGTAAGTACAACAAGTGCTTGAATTTAGTTCAGTAGTTATTAATGAGTTTGGAAGTATAAAAAAACAAATAATAATAAAGTAACTAATTTGTCATATTATAGAGTAATAAAGATAAAGAAACTGGATAAAACAAAGAAAGGATAATTAAAAAAAGGATAGTGAATATAGAGAAGAGAAAATATAGCAAATTCTAATCTAAAAACAATAAGAAATAAAATGGAATAATTTCATTAGGACTTGATAAGGATTTAAAGGATAGATGAATTTAAAAAATAAAAAAAAAAGTGAGTTCTGACTAAGTCACATAATAGTTTGAACAAAGAATTAAAGATCAATAGTTTATTTTAAGATTCTGGATTATATAATATAGATTTTATTTATAATTTATAAACAAATGCAAGAAAAGAAATAAACATGTACATAATTTATTTATAAATAAAATAAAGATTTTATTAAGAAAATAAAGAAGATACAAAAAGAGATAAAGAAAGTAAAGAAATCTATCCTATATTTGCTCAAAAACTATCTAAAGGATTAATTAAAATTAATTAGTCACTGATTGATTATTTGTTCTATTATTGATACATAAGGAAGAAAAATTAAAGTTACTTTTATAGTTATTTCAATTCTATTCTAAAAATATAAATTAATCTATTAATTGATTATATGATAAAGATGAAAAAAGAAAGAAAAAGAAAGAAAATAATAAAATAGACTTAATTCTGGTCTTACTTAGTTTCCTGGTTACTATGGAAGTGGTGACAATTCAAAACATTTGTATCTTTATCTTAGTGAGTAGTCTTTTGCTAAAAAGAGTGATCACTATCTAAGCAAAATGATAATTTCCACAGTAATCCGCAGTAGACCATAACATCTGCAATTTGTAATATATCAGAAGTCATATGGTATGTGACAGACATACCAAAAGAATTTATAAATATAGATGGAAAAAGAGAATACAGAATCAAGATTTTTAAGATGAATTTGGGAACAAAAAAGATGGTGAAAAGGATGAAAATGAAGTGGATAATATAAGGTAAGTGGATAAGCGAAGGTAAGTGGTAATAAGTATTGATAAGTAATATTAGGAAAAGAGAAAAATAAGTAGAAGAGGGTGGTGACAATTAAAAGGGAAATTATATAGATAAAGATTAAAGGTAATGGGATGTGATGGATAGGAATGAGAGCAAGAATGTAATGACAATGAAGAGAATAAAAAAAATAGTAACAATGGTTATTGGATACCTAATAGGTATTCAATTCAAATTCGAAATTTGATTTTTCGACCTGTGATATCCAATTGAACTATTACACTTATTTGAACAAGAATACTGGTTGATATCCAATTGAGTTTTGGATTATTGTCTATGCATATAGCTGGAATCAATCTGTTGACTTTATAACAAAATTCTGGTACACTAGTCACTTAAACTAATTAAAATTGAGAGAATAATTGGTATTTAAAGTTAAAATGATTAAAAAATTTTGAAATAACTATTATTCATTCAATTTTGATTATATAAGTCTATACTTTTTAAATAATATACAATTAATGTTTGTTTTTAAAGTTACTTAGTACTGTTTTTTATAAAATCAAAGATTTATATGTGACAATGATCAATGATTTTAAATAGACTTTCAATCAATTAAAATAGAACCAAAGTTAAAGTAGCATGGAAATATTGTAAAAATACATAATTAAAATAAATAAAATAATTATAATAGTTGTAACCTTTAATTACCTATTTTCACCAAAAATTTACTATTAAATTCATATTTCATATACTAAGATTTTTGATCATACATAAAAAATTGCATGTAACTAGGTATTTAAGATATTGTTTTGTTCGTATTAACAACTTGTGACACGTCTGGTGATATGTATAAATCTGGTGACCGTAACAGCAGATTTTTAGGATGATGCAATTATTGCTATAATTGTGTAAATATTTAAATTGTAAAATTTAATATATATTAATTAATAATGTATAGCCTTTTATAATCCGCGAAAAATAAAATAAAATAAAATAAAAATAAAATGGTTGTCAAGTACGGTTACGCTATTGGTAATATTTTTTTTTACCATGCTAATGCAATTAATAAAAAAATTTGAAACCTTTTTTTACTAATGTTAATAATGTTAATAATAGCTGAACAAGTAGTAGGCAACACAGCAACTGAAAAGGTGATTACTCCCACTAAAATTCCAGAAGTGATTAGTTTATCGGTTGTGAATTCATCGAGATTTTTAATTATCGGAACTAAGCCTGGTAAGAGAATTCATTTACTAAATGAATTAAATTTATAAATTTCTACACTTAATTTGACAATAAATTGTAATTCATTTTTCAAAAGAAATTCTTGAATGGCTTCATACTTATTCACATATCAAGCTTGAAGTTACATTATTCAATGACGAGAATGAAGCACCACATATTCATATTCCAGATGTTCTAATAGATCTTTTACCGACTTTTGAAAAATCAGGCAAATCTCTTATTGATTATATCAATCCAATTCATCATCCTAATCCAGAAAATGCAATAGTACAACTGGAATTTCGTCCGGTTAATCATAAAATTGATGAAAATGTTGAACCATATTTTCGAGTTATAGTGAAAAGAGGTTCTACTTTTGGAGAGATTATAGATGAAATTTCTGCTAAATGGGATTCAATTGATTATCCTAGTATTTGGGATAATGTTAAACATATTGTCAGTTTACCCTCTCAATATTTAAAACAAGAAGAAGAAGAAGAAGATAATGAATTAACAAATTCATCTTATCAAACTCCACTTAGTGCTGTTGTTATCGACCAGAGATAATGTAAATAATAAAAATATTATTTAAAAGATTCACGATTTTATTAATGAATTTGAATCATAATTTTTATTCTGTACATTATTTTCTCTTCCAAAATAAATATAAATACTAAAACACAATCATTTTTTCGATTCTTCTCTTCTATTGAATAAAAAATTCAAATTACCTTTCTCAAATTATTAATTATAAAGAATGTTCGCAAAAAAAAAAAAAAAAACAATAAATCTTCAAACAAATATTTGAAAGGTAAATTGTTTATATAATAAATGTGATAGAAAACAAAGGGAAAATGTATATATATTAAAATAAGGCAAAAAAAAGAGAAATACAAATATAAAAGAAAACATGCTTTTTTGTTGAGTGAATTGCTGTGATTCGTTTTGTGACACTGTTCATAATGAAAAAAAAATCATTTCTAAGGGTCAATGAAGAAAGTAATGAAGAAAGTGATGAAGAAAGTGATGAAGGAGAAAGTGATGAAAATAATAATGAAAGTATCATGCACAATGGAAACAATGCATCAAATTTTCGGTGACCTTATTATTAATAATCCTCAGAATATTCTAGAATGTAATCCATAATATAATCCGAAATAATATAATCCATAGTACTTCATTCAAGCAGTTCTTCGAATCCCTATATACAATATATTCCGAATATGTTATATATATTATGTCATATTATGTATATTTTTTAATTTTTAATGTTTACCTGAAATTCCCAACGTCCTTCAGACAATCCCTTGGCAGTGTCTTCTAACAATACTTCTCTTCGACTACCAACATAAACAGTTTTATTTAAGACTTCTTGTTTCAATTCAGTAATTTTTTCGGCTTCAATGGGTTTTTCTAATAATTCAGAAAGTTGTTCGACAGCCATTTCAAGATCTCGTTGGTTGTCTTCAAATATTTCAGTTTGATTATTTCGAACGAGATAGAAAGCGAACGCGTATGTCCATTTAAGAGTCATACGACATTGGACAAGGATATCAACAGCTTTCTTAAGAAATTGAACTTCGATCCAAGATAAATCTGAAGTTTGTTGCATTTCTTCCATTTTTTTTTCAGTCTTGTTATAAAGTTCACGATCAAGCTTAGCGGATTGTTCATGATTAGCAAATCGATTATAATACTATTTTTTATATAAATTAATGTCAAAATAATGTAAATTAAGTTAATGTAAAGAATATTATGTAATAAAAAGTTACATACATGAAGATATCGTTCCAAAGATGCCCGGGATTTAGCTTGTTGATCTCTTGCATCTTGACTACTTTTTTCATCATATCGATTACAATTATACCAACTAGTTCCATGCTCTGACCAAGGACCCATGCAAACCCAGCAAAATTCATATTTGCATTTACGGCAAGTCATATGGTTACAACCACCATTTTTTTCGATAGTGGAATGACATTTCCCGCATTCTTTGGTATGTGCAGAGATCCAATTAGCTGTCTCAGAATCATCTTCACATTTTTTAACCCATTTTTTTACCAACATACAAACGGATGGTTGATGATCTGGTAAACCACAACCAAAACAAAAGCGATGACAACAAAAGCATTCAACTGTTGGTACGATACGCGTAAGGGAAGTATTTGGAACATGACACTCAACTGCATATTCACAACTAGGAGCTGGACACCATCGTAAATATTCATTATCATCCACGTAAGTTCGGTTTAGTAGTGTACGATATCTATATTAAAAATTATAGATTAAATAGGTTAAATTAAATGAAAATATTAAATTTTAGATTATGTTATAAAATTATGTAAAAAATACCTGCTATGTATTTCTGGACTAACCGCCAATTCTACTGTTTTTTCATCAGCGATAACATTACAATTACTAGCCATACACATTATTCTCCGACTTTCGCCTTCTTCTTTAATTTTTTGTGTCAAGTAATGTTCGTAACAATTTCTACAAAACCTGTGATCACATGATAGTGCTAAAGTATCCAAATCACAGTCATCGTCACAACAAATTTCACACACGAAACCACGAACTTTCATAAATTTAGGTACTCTAGAATCATCAGTTATTACACCTGCTGTTCTCAAGACACTTCCTGAATCATCCATGTAACGTTCAATGAGTCTTTCCTTATTCCAACGAAAATGTCGAAGTAAAGTCGCGGCATGTTGTTTTTGAATTCCAAGAATGTTGGATACATGAGTAATCTCATCATCTTGACTTTTGACAATACCTTCAACTGAATGAACATTAAATTCCACTTCATAACTCTTTTTTCGATTTCTTTCTGCAACTACATCAGTAAAATTGAGTTCAGTGTCGTCTTCTTCAACGAAGATCTCATCTTCATCTTCATCAAGATCTAATTCTTGCTCTTCGTCTAAGTTGCATGGTCAAGTAGAATAAAAAAATTTTTGCTATAAGAATAGTGTTTGTATATATACTTTAATTTTTTTTGCGCAGCAAATTTTATGAGAATGTTATATAAAGATTATAAGATTTTATCCCCCTAGAAAATATTTCTCCTAAAAAAGGAGAAGTTCTTCGAAGCTTACCTGTACTTTTATAGGAATCATAATCATACATATCCTCCTCAGATTCCGACATTCTTTCAATCTTACGTCTTTTATACTTTGGGGACGACGTCTTGCCTAGTGAAGTTCAAACAAATAAAAAATTTGTAAAATTCAATATCCTACAAGCTAATGCAGGAGAGATATATAGTTATGTGCGAAGGTAATAAAATTTTATAAAATTTTCTGGAATAAAGGTGAATTTTTTTGAGTTATATATATATTAGGAGATCTCGGGGTTGTATTTTTGTCACATGATATTAAAGTAAAATGAGAGTTTCTTATGCTGCGCGCAAGCATATAGCAATATTATCTTTATAGTAAATTAGTATTTTATTACTATAAATGTAATTAAATGTAATGCAATATTTTTATATGCTAGTAATAATCCATAATTACAAAATTGTAATGTTTATCTTGATAATACAATTTCAATTATTAAAAGTTCTAAAAGAATTTGATTTTAAATAAAGAATAGAATTAAATTAGAAGTAGCAAGGGAATCTGGGCAAGAAAGATGCTTCAGGCCTCCAAATAATACTGTATATAAATTAGTGCTCCTAATGAGTCAAATTGAATTGAGTTTAAGGTATAACTTCAACTTGATCCTTACTTATAATGACCTTAATCCTTTAATCAAATTGAGTTTAAATTTATATGAATCGAATTTCAAGTTTATTTTTTACAAATCGAATTGAATCAAGTCAAATCAAATTAAATCAAATCAAGTTTCAAGTCAGATTGAATTCAAGTCAAGTTGAATTGAATCAAGTTGAATTAAATTGAATCAAATTTCAAGTTAAATTTTATTTTTTATAAATCAAATTGAATCAAGTTAGTCAAATACAAAAGAATTGTCAAAAAATAATTCTGATTTTATCTGATTTATAATATAAGATACAATAGGACAGTTGATTTTTAACAATTTTTAACTGATCTATAATATAGGAATCATCATTGTTAGCTTTGTTCTATTGTTTTTATTTTTATCATATTATTTATTATTATACATATTTTATTATTTGTATTTTATATATTATTTACTTTCTAAAATTAGCTTTTTCAAAAAATATCGTGGCGATATCATCAAGATATTAATAAATATCATGAGGATATCTTAGTGATAGATTCGTGAGGTTATTACGATTGTCATAAGATTATCTCAAATATATCTCGAAGATATTATCACGATATCTATTTGATATTAAAAAATTAATGAAAATTTTTAAAAAAATTATTAAATAAATTTATGATTATTGTCAAGATATCTTTTCAATATAAATCAATATAAATCAATAATAAATCAATACAAATATATATCGCAAGGACATGATCTCAATATATCCGAAATCTAAAATTTATAAATATTGTCAGGATATCTTTTCGATATAGAATTGATCATAATTTATTATAAATATATATCGCTAGGACATGATTTCATTATGTCCGAAATCTTAAATTTATAAATATTGTCAGGATATTTTTTCAATATAGAATCTATTACAAATATATATTGCTGGGATGTGGTTTCGATATATGTATTTATAATTTATCGTTAGGATATCTTTTCGATATAGAATTGATCATAATTTATTACAAATATATATCGTTAGGATGTGGTTTTGATATATGTATTTATAATTATCATCAGGATATCTTTTCGATATAAAATCAATAATAAATTAACACAAATATATATCGTAAGGACATGATTTCATTATATCTGAAATCTTAAATTTATAAATATTATCAGGATATCTTTTCGATATAGAATTGATTCTAATTTATTACAAATATATATTACTGGGACACATTCTTGAATAATTATCAGAATATTTTTTTGATATAAAATTAATCATAATTTAATACAAATATATATCATTAGGATATAGTTTTGATATTTCAAATTATTGTTATCGTCAGAATATCTTTTCAATGACATTGTTGAAATATTCAAAAATAAAAATTTATAATTATCATTTTTGATTTTTTTCATATCGCTAACATTTTTTATTATATCAAAATGTTATATTTCTAAAAATTAAAAATTATAAAAATATATTAAATATAATATTATT